TAAAATATTTGGCCAGGCGTGGTGGCTCATGACTGTAATCTCAGCACTTTGGGAGGCTTAAGTGGTTGGATCACTTGCGTCAAGAGTTTGAGACCAGCCTGGCCAACATGGTGAAATCCTGCCCCTACTAAAAGTACAAAAATTAGGTTTGCATGGTGGCACTTGACTGTAATCCCAACTACTGGGGAGGCTGAGGCAGGAAAATTGCTTGAACCTGGGAGTCAGAGGTTGCACTGAGCTGAGATCCTGACACTGCACCCCAGCCTAGGAGACAGAGCAAGAAAAAAAAAAAAAAAGAAAGAAAGAAAGGAAAAAAAAAACAACTAAAATATTCAAGGCAATATATAAACATTAGGAAAAGTTGAAGCCTATTTTTCTGCTCTTATTTGCAGGTCCTTGCTATAGCAAACTCTAAAATAAATTTCCACTGGTACTTCTGCTTTTATTAATATAAAATTAATTATTATAATGCTGTCTTACCAAAAAGTGAAGTTTCAATTACATCTTTTATAGATACATACTTTGCAAATGTGCTAAGACACAGAAGAAAGTGGTGCTCTATCCAGTTTAACTAGAGTTGAGTACAATCATGTGCTGCGTAACAGTATTTTAGCCAATGACCGACTGCACATATGATGGTTCCATAACAACTGAGCTGAAATATTCCTATTGCCTAGTGACGTTGTAGCATTATGCATTATTTACATGTTTGTGGTGATGCTAATGTAAACAAACATACTACACTGCCTGTCACATCGAAGCACTCACATAATTACATCGGGCACATTATACCTGATAATGATAATGAATCACTATGTTCCTAGTCTATGTATTTGTGATATATATTTTATTGTTATTTTACAGTATGCTCCTCTTATTAAATAAAAATAGTTAAATCTAAAACTGCCTCAGGCATGTCCTTCAGAAATATTCCAGAAGATGGCATTGTTATCAGAGGAGGTGACAACTCCATGCATGTTATTGTCCCTGAAGACCTTCCAGTGGGACAAGACGTGGGGGTGAAAACAGTGATATTGATGATCCTGACCCTGTGTGGGCCTTGGCTAATGTGCGTTTGTGTCTTAGTTTTGAACAAAAACTTTTCAAAAAGTAAACATATTAAAAATTAAGAATTTTTATAAAGAAAAAACTTAAAAGCTTCTATTATAAGGATATAAAGAAAATACTTTTGCAGCACAATGCATTTGTATTTTAAACTATTGATTACAAAAGTATCAAAAAGTTAAAAAGTTTATAAAGTAAAAAAGTTACAGTAAGCTAATTTCTTATAATTGAAAGAAAAATATTTTTATAATTTTAATGTAGCCTGCATGTGCAATGTTTTAAAAGTCTACAGTAGTGTACAGTAGCATCCTAGGCCTTTACACTCACCACTCACTCACTGACTCACCCAGAGCTTGCAGTCATGCAATCTTCATTCATGGTAAGTGCCTGTACAGGTCTACCATGTAAAAATCTTTTATAGCATATTTTTTACTGAACCTTTTATAAGTTTAGATATGTTTACATACACTAATATTTATGTTTGTGCTAAAATTGCCAATGGTGTTCAGTGCAGTAACATGCTGTACAGGTTTATAGTCTATGAATAATAGGGAACACTAGGTAGCCTAGGTTATGTAGTAGTCTATACCACCTAGGTTTGTGTAAATACGTTCTGTGATGTTCACACAACAATGAAATCCCCTAATGATGCATTTCTCAGAAGATACCTCTGTAATTAAGCAATGCATAGCTGTATAAGTATCTGGCCAATTTCTTTATCTACAAAGAAAGACATGGTGATTTCATTACCACAATTTTAGTGACCACCTTCTGTTTAAAATCTCAAAAGCTTTAGCAGGAAAGAACCGGTCAACAACAACAACAACCAATGATTGCAGTAGCACCAACCAAATAGCTTGTTAGGCAATAAGGACAAACTGGTTATACTGCGTGTCACTAGACCTTAATAAAGAAGATAGGAGACATGAGTGGCATTGCATTAATTTCTCCCTCTGTATATGTAACACTACCCCTGCTACTTTGTTCTGCCTCCCTCAGCAGAGTCTTATGTAGTTGTTACAGTGACAATACTAGACAATATTGACTGCATTCAAATAACAATTAATCTCTATTACTCAGAGGTTAGAAGTGAAAAAAACAATCATCTATATCAGTGATTTTGGCAGAAGATAGCTGTGGAATCATGTAAGGCTTTTTAAAGGAGGAGAATGAATAAATTCTTAGCTATAATACAACTGAAACTATTCTGCAACCATATTACAATCCATTCTTTCTGAAAGAAACAGTGGATCATAGAGGGTTTATGTTTGCAATAGTATTATATATGTATTTTAAAACCATTTAATAACCTGTATTCACATAGTTTAAAGTTTTAAAGGTAAAAGTTACCTGCCATCAGTGTTGTTTCTCAACAAATAGAAATAAAATAATTCTTACAATAATTTGTTGGCAGTGTTTATGAAATGTGTCTCTATGTTTAAAAACTAGTCATTTTTCAATTTTCTAAGCTTGTAAATAGGTGGATTTTAAAAATGTATACATAAAGCTATTTTGGGGGAATTAAAAGATATTTAAAATTCAAGATGATACCTGTTTTAAAAACCTCCTTTGAAATTTTTTGTGCTGTGAAAAATGGTTTTTATTCTGTGAATAATGTCTCATTTATCTGGTTATACCTTTTAGTGATGTTTATAATTTAGCATTAGCAAATAGTTTTTTAAATCACATCAGTTCACACCTTTCTTCATCCTCTCTTTAACTTCTTTCTATCAAACAAACAAACAAAAACAAAATGCAGACTATACCATAATATGATAATACGACCTATTTTTTCACCCCTTAGTGAATCATTGCTTTTCTTTACTACATGTGTGAATGCTGTTTGCAAAGCTGGGGACATTATTTTGGAAATCTGATAATCACCTGCAGGCCTTATGGCTTCAACACAGCCTTATGTCGTGATAATGAAACATTTTAACCAGGCAAAGAAGAAATTTGAAGAAAACCAAAGAATATTTTTCTGGCAACGTTGACATTGACCTAAGTGCAAAAATGGTTGGTAGATAGTCACTCGGGTACCTTGACAATTCTGATGCCACATTTTGTAGTCCTGCCTTGCTGAATGCTTCTTTCTCAAGTCCATGCACATTAAAAACAAAAAAGTAAAAGAAAATGTAGAAATAATTTATTCAAGTGGTAAATTACTATTCCTGGAAAAAAGACTTGAATTTGACCAGTATACGAGTGAGATGTAGAATCAGAGACATAGAGTTTTTGTTTTTGTTTTTTTCAATGAATTTCTTCATGTTCACTTGACAGAGATTGAGCTCTACAGTTGTAGAGTATACTCATTTTTCAGCACTTATGGCTCAAGAATTAATTCCCTCTATTCACTTAGAATTAGCTTAGTAGAAATTTCCAAGGGATGTTTTGGATTTTCCATTAAAAAGTTTGCATGTTGACTTTAGAAAATTGAAAAGGCTTAACACAACCATTTAAATGTTTTTCTGCTGAGAATGCTGAAGTTTCTCTATAGGGTTTTTATGGGAATGAAAGCCACCAAGTATAACTAATAGGTGCAACCTGAGCCAGCTGTCAATATTAGAATCTATCATGACATTACAATTCAAAGCTAAAGAGTTAAATATTAGTATTTAAACCTTTAAAACATCATTTTAAAGTTTAAATTTATAAGTTTAAATTTTTTTGAAATATTCAAGAATATATCAGAGACGTTTGAACCAAAGCAACTCCATTTTGAATAGGGGCTGGCTAGAATAAGACTGAGACCTACAGTAAGTCACAGGATGAGATGGTAAGTCAGCACATGATACGGGTCACAAAGACCTTGCTGATAAAACAGGTTGTGGTAAAGAAGCCAGCCAAAACCCATGAAAACCAAGATGGTGACAAAAGTGACTTCTGGTTATCTTTACTGCTCAATATATCCTAATAATGATGCATTAACATGCTAAAAGACACTTCTACCAGCACCATGACAGTTTACAAATGCCATGGCAATGTCAGGAGGTTACCCTATGTGGTCTAAAAGTGGGATGAACCCTCAGTTCTGCGAATTGCTCACCTCTTTCCCAGAAAACTCATGAATAATCTATCCCCGGTTTAGCATATAATCTAGAAATTACCATAAAAATAGTCAACCAGCTGCCCTCATGGCTGCTCTGCCTATGGAGTAGCCATTCTTTTATCCCTTACTTTCTTAATAAATTTGCTTTCACGTTACCTACAGACTCACGCTGAATTCTCTCTTGCATGAGATCCAAGAACCCTCTCATAGAGAATGGATCAGGACACTTTTCTGGTAACAAATATAAGAAAGTAAATTTTAAATTATAAAATAGTATCTCTAGTGATAACCAGAGTATCCGTTTGCTGTTTTGATGCACAATATATGCATACACATAAATACAGGTATGATTGATACTGTTTTCCTATTAAAACTAGATCCATATCAAGTGAATTAAAAATATGCTTTAGATTTAAAATTTTCTATATTAAATCTATGAAATCATTTTAATATGCACATAATATTCTTAAATTTATTTTATTTTTCTCCTATTGAACTTTGTTGTCTCATCTAATTCTACTTTTACATAAATGTCTGGACCTATGTCTTTAGAAAACATTTCAAATAAAGTATAACATTTGGTATTGTCTGCAAGTTTCTTTGAACTGGCTGTACCATAGCCCATACCCTAAGTCAAGCCATGGCAATCCCTGTGACCCACACGTACACCTCTGGATGTCCTCCCGTAATTAGAAAATCTGAAGTAATTGGAAGACCACAAAGCCTAATTAACTGGAGATATTGTTCTATTGTTTCCTATTCCAGCCTCAACTGACAAGGCAATTGGACTTTGTTACCAACCTTGGTCAACCTGGTGACTCCAGACCCTACAACCCCTTCCCAGCTTGCAAACCTACAACCCTCTCCCAGCTTGCAAAATCCACCCTAAACTGTAACTTCTATCTTCTATAACTTTCCACTGCCTACCTCAAATCTATAAAACCAAGCCCTATCCCACTGCCTTCCTCTGACTCTCCTTCTGGACTCAGCCTGCCCACACTAGGGTGAATAAACAGCCATGTTGCTCACACAAAGCCTGTTTGAGGGGGTCTCTTTATTCAGAGCATGTGTTTGAACAGTGTCAAAGAAAAATTACACCAGACAAGTTAAAGAGGCAAGGAAGAATTTATTCAAGATGATTGCAGGAGGGTTCAAGAGAAATAAAGAGTGACTGAAACCAAATCTACTGAAAATTGTTTGGTAACAAAACTGCACTTGTTCCTTCTAAATATATATTTTTTTTATAAATTCAAAAATTTTAGGGGGAAAACTTGTCATTGTGATTAGGTTATCTGTGTGCTAATTGGTGCTAATGGAAATTAGGATCCTCCCCTCTCACAGAGAGGAGGGGTTAGGAGCACTGTCTTTCTTGATGATCCCATGGTCCCCAGGTTCATATGAAAGAGTTCTGGGATGTAAAACCATAGAGAAGAAAAGAAGATTTACATCTCAAAGAGGCAGAGAAAGAATTTAGTTTCAAGTTTTCTGAAGTAAATGCTCTAAGGAAAGGAAGATCAAGGACCAGAGAACAAACCTGTGAATAGTGTAGTCAAGCAGAGGGGAATCTTTAAGGCCATCTTGCTCAGTAACAATATACACTGTGAAACTGAACACTTCATTTAAGTATTTTCCTTATATTTTATGTGCTAAATTGTGAGGATTAGAGTGTTTGAGGTGAATGTAGACATATATAATGCCAGGAAAAATTATTCAGTCTGTTGGTGAAAATTATCAAGCTCTGTAAAATATTTGAAGAGATTTATTCTGAGCCAAATATGAGTGACCAAATGGACTGTGACACAGTCTCAGGAGATCTTGAGAACATGTGCTCAAGATGGTCAGGCTGCAATTTGGTTTTATACAATTTAGGGAGACATACGGTATCAATCAATGCATCTAAGATGTACATTAGTTTGGTCTGAAAATGTGGGACACTTGATGAGTGGTGTATTGGGCAGAGGAGGGACTTCCAATTCAAAATTTTCTGACTGTCTGTTGGTTGAAAGAGTTTTATCTAAAGACCTGAAATCAATATAAAGGAGTGTCTGGTTTAAGATAAGGGGATGTGGAGACCAAGGTTCTTATTATGTAGATGAATATTCCAGGTAGCAGATTTCAGAGAGAATAGATTGCAAATGTTTCTTATCAGACTTAAAAAGGTACAAGACTCTCAGTTAATTCTCTACTGGATCAAGAAAAAGACATAGAGAGAAGGAAGTTTTCTACAGAATGTAGATTTTCCCCACAAGAGACAGCTTTGCAGGGACATTTAAAACTATGTCAAATAAATATATTTTGGGATAAAACACTTAGATTTCTATCAGGGCCTACTGTCTATCATGTTGGTATATCATTGTTACAGAGATTCCCTTTGTCAGTCTTAAGGTCTCTTTTTTAATGTTAATGTCGATGAGCGGTGCCTGAATTCTAAAAGGAGGAAGGTATAATGAAGCATGTCTGACTGCACATTCCAGTCATGGCCTGAACTACTGTCTCAGGTTTACTTTATGATGCTCTTGGCTAAGAGGAGTCCATTCAGTTGGTTGGTGGGCTTAGTTTTTGTGTTTTTTTTGTTTTTGTTTTATAAGTCAATACTAACGCAGCAGCTCAAATGAAATAAATAAGCAGAAAGTGCTTAAATTTCTACATGAAGTCTATATGTATACATGACATATAAAGTTACAAAGGAGCTCCCAAACATAATTTCAGAAGCACAATATACAAAAGCTACAAAAATAGTTGCTGGATTAAAAAGCTTTTTCAAGCATTATTTAAAAGAAAGGAATTCACAAACACATTTGTCATTATGGAAGAGAAATCTCCCACTAAGCAATCAAAACTTAAGTGGAAAAAAATGGTTTGTGTGAAATAAGCCATGAAAAAATCCTTACAAGAATTTTTATAATAAATTTTAGAAAATAACATTTCAAAAAAAAATTTCAATGACATTTTACTCATGGTAAATTAGTTAAAAAAAAAAAAAAAGTCCAATTGCCTTCCACTCACTTTCTCTTTTTGTGAGAAACTCAGCAGTATAACATCTATCTCTGTATTTTTATTCCTCATTAGCCCTAAATTGGTTTAATCAAGAAATCAAGATAAATACAGTTAAAAACAAAATGAATTATGAATGGCATTTTCTTTTTGTCTACTCCTCTACCCAAACATTCTTGATTTATTGAGTGTCATTGCCTCTTGTTTCCCTAGGCTTGCTACACAGATCATAAAATATAAAAAATTTGGGTGTTTTCAGTTTAGGTGATTTTCATTTAAACATTTAACCATTCTTAATACTCTTCCTCCATCCCAGGCTCTGCCAATATCCTGAATGTGCATATACATGTATACACACACACATATGTATCTGTATATATGTATATTTCAAGTACAAACTGTAAAGTTTGTTGAAATGACTGCATCAGGGACAACACCATAGTCAAGGCACGGTGACCCCCGTGACCCACATGTATACTTCAAAATGGCCTCCCAGAGCTAGAAAGTCTGAGGTAATAGGAAAACTGCAAAAGAAAGAGAATAGCTAGCTCCTGCAGTGCCTGATTAACCAACTTTGCAATATTTTGCTATTCTTCCTGCCTCAACTAATAAGTCAACCTTGTAAGATTGGACCCTGTGACAAGCCCCCCAGCTTGCAAAAACTGCCCTGAACTGTAACTCTCCATTGCCTACCCCAAACCTATAAAACCAGCTCCTATCCCACCATCCTCTGCTGACTCTCTTTTCAGACTCAGTTCAATTGCACCTGAGTGAATAAACAGCCTTATTGCTCACACAAAGCCTGTTTAGGTGGTCTCTTCATTCAGAGTATGCTTAACATTTGGTGCTGAAAATCGGGACAAGGGTACTCCTTTGGGAGGCCAGCTCCCTGTCTCCACTCTCCCTCTGTGAAGAGACCCACCTGTGACCTCAGCACATCAGACCATCCCAACAACCCTCTTGCCACCTTCAGATTGGGTAAGCAGTCTCTCTCTCTCTCTCTCTCTCTCTCTCTCTCTTTTCCTTTAAATCCTTCTAAGTAGAGACAAAAAAGACTATCTATGCACTCACAAACACCAACATTGGTCATGGACTCAAGAAGACAGACTTCCTTTGGTGTCTGGTCAATAGTGGGGATGCCTGCCTTGACCACTCACCCACGGTACAGCCCAGAACTCAGTCAGGGTCACCTACTGAAAACACTGGTAGCTGCTCTCCTCTCATTCTCCTCATATCCGCTCCTTTCCCTAAGACTTACCTCCTTCACAATGGCAATATTTTGCCCTCTATTCCTCTGCTTTACCTCTAGCCTGTATCCTAAAAAACCTAAAACCTCTTCAACTGCCACCTGATCTGAAACCTAAATGTCTCATTTTTTTTCTGTAATATGGCCTGGCCCCAATACAAATTAAACAATGGTTCCAAATGGCCAGAAAATGGCACTTTCAATTTTTCCATTCTGTTGAACCTAGACAATTTTTGTTGATGAATGGGCAAATGATCCAAAGTACTATACCTCCAGGCATTTTTTAAACTTTGATCCCTCCCTAATCTCTGCTCTCAATACAACCTGTCCCAAATTTTCCTTCTCTCCCTTCCATCTGCCCCTCTTGCCTCTGCCAGTGACTCAGAATAATCTTCCTTGTCCATTGACCCTTCCGACCTTTCTCCTCCCCACCTGTCTGAACCAGGCCCTAATAAAGGCCCTAACCCCGCAACCCAGAGCCTTTGTTTTCTTCCTCTGCCCACAACCCACCTCCTTATGCCCCTTCTGTCACCTCCCCACTTCATACCTGGTCTGGCTTACAGTTTAGTCCTGTGGCTAACTCCTCCATCCCTGCCCAACAATTTCCCCTTTTAGGGGTGCCTGAAGCTGAAGGCATAATTAGGGTGCACATTCCTTTCTCCTTATCCAACCTTTCCCAACTCAGCCAACAGTTTTTTTCATCAGATCCTACTAAATATATATACGAGTTCCAATATCTAACTCAGTCCTATAACAACCTGGAGTGACTTAAGTGTTATTCTCACCTCTACCCTAACCCTGGAGGAGCAGGAAAGAGTTTATACCCTAGCTCAATCCTACACTAAAGACCAGCAGTGCCTTGAACCCAGTCTATAGGAAGGTACCAGGGTAGTTTCCTGGGAAGATTCCCAATGGAAATATCAGACAGGTTTCCCTGATATAGCCAGGCAAGATTTCATGATCTTCTGCCTAGCTGAAGGACTCAAAAAATTAGTATATAAAGCTATCAACTACGACAAACTTAAAGAAACTACTCAGGGCAAAGATGTAAACCCAGCCCAGTTCATGGCCCATTTAGAAGCCACACTTAAGATGCAGAAGGGCCAGAAGGCCATCTTATTCTTAATATGCATTTTATTACCCAGTCTGCCCCCAACATTAGGAAAAAACTCCAAAAACTAGATTCTGGCCCTCAAACCCCACAACATGACCTAATCAACCTCACCTTTAAGATGTTCAATAACTGAGAAGAAGCTAGTAAGCAACAGCATATCTCAGAATTACAAATGCTTGCCCCCATTGTAAGACAAACCCCAGCCACACTTCCAGCTCAAAAAAACTTCAGAATGCCCAAACTACAGCATCCAGGCTTTTCTTCAGGACCTTCTCCACCAGGCCCTTGCTTCAAAATGCTGGAAAACTGGCCACTGAGTGAGGGAATACTCACAGCCCAGGATTCTTCCTAAGCCATGTCGCAGTGTGGGACCACGCTGGAAGTTGAACTGTCTGACTCATGTTGCAGCTGCTCCTAGAGGTCCATCTGTGTGGGAACCCACTGGAAGTTGGACTGCCCAACTCATGTTGCAGCTGCTCCTAGAGCTCCTGGGGCTCAAACCCAAAAGTCTCTGACTAACTCCTTCCCAGGTCCCCTGGGCCTAGTGGCAGAAGACTGACACTACCCAGTTCTTTGAAAGCCCCGTGGACCATCACAGATGCCGAGCTTCGAGTAACTCTTACAGCAGAGGGTAAGTCCATCCCTTTCTTAATCAACACAGGGGCTACCCACTCCATATTGCCTTCTTTTCAAGGGCCCATTTCCCTTGCCTCCATAATGGTTGTGGGCATTGATGACCAAACTTCTAGACTCCTTAAAACCCCCCAATTCTGATGCCAAATCGGGCAGCACTCCTTTATACACTCCTTCCTAGTTGTCCCCACCTGTACAGTCCCCTTACCAGGCTGAGACATCTTAAGAAAATTATCTTTATCCTTAACTATCCCTGGACTACAGCCACATCTCATTGCTACCCTCCTACCCAATTCAACTCTCCCTCACATCCACCCCTCACGTCTCTCTACCTCAACCCAAAGGTAGGGGACATATCAGTCCCATCCTTGGCAACCGACCATACACCTCTTATCATCCCATTAAAACCTAACCACCCTTACCCTGCCCAGCATCAGTATCCCATCCCACAACAGGCTTTAAAAGGCTTAAAGCCTCTTATTACCCATCTGTTACAACATGGCCTTTTAAAGCCTACAAACTCTCTTTACCATTCCCCTATCCTAACTGTCCAAAAACCAGACAAATCCTACAGGCTAGTCCAAGACCTTCACCTCATTAATCAGATTGTATTTCCCATTCATCTTGTTGTACCAAAGCCTTATACCCTTCTATCCTCCATATCCCTTTCCACAACCCGCTATTCTGTTCTTGACCTTACAGATGCCTTTTTCACCATGTCCTTATACCCCTTCTCTCAGCCTCTTTTTGCCTTCAATTGGACTGACCTCAACACCCACCAGTCTCAATAACTCATCTGGATCATTCGGCCCCAAGGTTTGGGAAATAGCTCACACTACTTTAGTAAAGCCCTTTCCTGTGACCTTTTCTCCTTCTGTACATCTTCTTCCAACCTCATTCAATATGTGGACAATACTCTACTTTGCAATCCCTCTTATGAATCTTCCCAGCAAGATACTCTCCTGCTTCTTCAACTTCTATACTCCAAGGGGTACCATATTTCCCCTTCTAAAGCCCAAATTTCTTCACCATCCATTACTTATCTTAGTATAATCCTTCATCAGCATATATGCACTCTTCTTGTCAACTGTATCCAGCTAATTTCCAAAACCCCAGCTTCATCCACTAAACAACAGCTTCTCTCCTTCCTAGCTGTTGTAAGATACTTTCATCTGTAGATACCAGGTTTTTCCTCCTAACCAAACCACTTTATAGACTTACAAAGGGAAACTTAGCTGATTTCATAGACCCCAAATCCATTCTTCCTTTGGTTTGCTAAAAAAGGCCTTATAAATAGCCCCTGCACTAACACTTTCCAACTCCTCCCAACCCTTCTCCCTTAACACAGCAGAAGTAAAAAGCTGCACAGTCAGGTTTTTACACAAGCACCAGGCCCACAGTCAATCACCTTCTTGTCTAAACAACTTGATCTCACCGTCCTAGGCTGGCCGTCATGTTTACGTGCCATGGCTGCCACGGCTGTAGAATCCCTTAAAATTACGGGCTATGCTCCACTTACTCTCTGTGTCTCAGACAACCTCCAAAGTTGTTTCTTCTTCACACCTTACACACTTACTTTCAGCTCCTCACTTCCTCCAGCTTTATGGTCTCTTTATTGAAATCCCCACAGTAACCATTGCTCTTGGACCCAACTTCAACCAAGCCTTTCACTTAACACCCAACACAAGTCCTGATTTGCAAGATTGCATCTCACTGATTCATAAAGCATCCTCCCACTTTTTCCATATTTCCCTCTTCTCAATTCCAGACCCAGACCACACATGGTGGCAGTTCTTCAAAGACCAGTTGGTTGTCACTGGCCAAACCTGGTTATGCTGTTGTATCTCACTCATCTATTACAGAGGCTGCCACACTCTCCCCCTCTACCACTTCCCAGCAAGCTCAAATCATCGCCTTAATCCAGGCTCTCACACTCGCAAAAGGGTTACATGTCAATATTTTCACTGATTCTAAATACACCTTTCACATCCTTCACTACCATTCTGTTATCTGGGCAGAAAGAGGTTTTCTCACTACACAAGGGTGCCTCCTTAATAAAAACCCTTCTTAAAGCTATTCTCCTTCCAGCCAAAGCTGGAGTCATTCACTGCAAAGGGCACCAAAAACTGTCAGACCCCATTACCCAAGGAAATGCCAATGCCAATAAAGAAGCTAAAGAAGCGGCTAACACTCCAGTACCAGCCCCTCATGGCCACTTCTCATGTGTTACTCCTATCTACTCTGTCTCTGAAACCTTAACCTACCAGTTATTTCCTACTCAAGGCAAGTGGTTCTTAGACCATGGAAAATTCCTTCTCCCTGCCTCACAAGCCCACTCTATCCTTGCATCCTTTCATAATCATTTTCATAGTATATAAGCCCCTAGCCCATCTTTTAAAACCCCTCATTTCTTTTCCATCAAGGAAATCCATCCTGAAAACAATCACGTCTCAATGTTCTATCTGCCACTATACTACTCCCAAGGCTTCCTTAAACCCCTTCCTTTTCCTACACATCAAGCCATGGAATATACTCCCACCACAAGACTGGAAAATAGATTTTACTCATATGCTCCGTGTCCACAAATTTAAATACCTTCTAGACTAGATTGACACTTTTACCGAATGGGTTGAAGCCTTTCCTACAGGGTCTGAAAAAGCTACCACAGTTATCTCTTCTCTCCTAATTGATATAATCCCTCGGTTTGGTCTTCCTTCTTCTATACAATCTGACAGTGGAACAGCCTTCATTAGCCAAATTACCCAGTCTCCCAGGCCCTTAGCATCCAGTGGAATCTCCACATCCCATACCACCCTCAGTCCTTAGGAAAAGT